AAAAATAACGTGCAAACAAGAAAGACTAGAACCGAGCTTACGTACAGAGGTTGCGAATGGCGACTCATGACACCGGTAAGTAGATTTGTAATTTTTGTTTACGTTAATGTCGCGGTGGTGTGTGCGTGTGTGTGGTATGGCGCGTGCAAAATTTTGGGAATTACGTATCCAATTAAACACACTTATTTGAGTTTGGTATATGGTTTTGCCGGAAAAACTAGGTGGGTAGTGGGTGCATATGACGCATAGGGTAATGAAACATCCGGTAAGTGCCTCTATAATTTTTATTTAGGCATATGTTGCGGCGGTGTCTGCGTGTGTGTTGTATGACGTGTGCAAATTTCTAGGAATTACATATCCAATTAGACACACTTATTTGAGTTTGGTATATGATTTTGCCAGAAAAACTGGGGTAGGTAGTGGTTGCATATGATGCGTAGGGTAATGAAACTTCCGGTAAGTGCATCTGTAATTTTTATTTAGATTTATGTTGCAGCGGTGTGTGCGTGTGTGTGGTTTGGCGTGTGCAAATTTATGGGAATTACGTATCCAATTAAATACACCTATTTGAGTTTGGTATATGGTATTGTCGGAAAATCTGGGGTGGGTAGTGGGTGCATATGACGCATAGGGTAATGAAACTACCGGTAAGTGCCTCTGTAATTTTTATGTTGGTGTAAGTTGTGGCGGTGTGTGCGTGTGTGTGGTATGGTGTGCGCAAATATATGGGAATTACGTATCCAACTAAACACACCTATTTGAGTTTGGTATATGGTTTTGTTATTGATATTGTTTGCAGTTTATGTTTCCTATACTCCATGATGCTCACTATTATGTCATCTCCGTTGATGTCAAGCGCATGAAATTTGATTTTATCGATAATTCCTCCGTTAGTGGTGTAACTCTTGATAAAAATGGCAACACCCCCATGGAGTTGGTATATTACGTTCTACCTGTGCTATTTTTTGCTTGTTTTGATACGATATCGATTTAATATATAGTTTTCAATTATTGACTGTGTTTGCATTTTTCTCATAATTTGTTTGTATAATGATTTGCTCTCTGTCTTTTTTGATGATGCGGGGTTCCCTGCATTAGATTTGAAGGTGAAAGAGTTAATCCCTAGAAGGCTTCACTTGTCATGGCGTGATACAAAAAACAAATTGGATTGTGGTGTGTTTGCAATGCGTCACATTGAGACGTACGTAGGCCAGTCGATCGCTTCTTGGGATTGTGTCCTTCGTAGGGCGATGCATGGTCCTTACTGGCCCTATGCGTGCGTTTCTTGTATGAAATTCTAATGTCTCATACCAACACGCATCGTCAATCGAATGTCAATTGTGTGGTGGGTTTTGGAGTTGCTATTCGTTGAAGATCTAGAGTTGTTACAACTATTTCATAGTATGGTTTATACTTTTTTAGACTTGATTACGATATATTGTGTTTATTATTATTTTTTTTTTTTTTGCATCCTTTTTTTTTTTTTACTAAAACATAATACATACTTTTCACTTCAGCCTATATTTACTTCGTTTTCTTGTTATGTTCTTTTCTTTTAAGCTGTTCGTTGGTCTATTACAGCATTACGCACACAAATTATAACGTGAATGCACACACTTGGTCATTACATTCTTTCGCCCTTTGAGCTTCACATTCCGTTCCCCGCTCGTGCACACACTTGTCAGCATAACGCACACACCTTCTGCTTTGCGAGCACACGCCGTGGAGGTGTGCAATACAAATTACTTATCCACTACCATTAATGCACACTCATTGTCATTACATTCCTTTCCCCATTGGACCACACGCCCCGAGCCGCTCCTGCACACACACCCAGCATGACGCACACACATACCGCTGTGTGCGCACACGCCATCAAGATGTGGAAAATGAACTACTTATGAAAAACGAATACTTATCACATGCCAAAAACAAAAATCCATACACCACATATACACAGCATTACGTATCACAAACAAACTTAACTCTAAACAACAACCACAACATTACCACATTTGAGTTTTACCCACCACTTCACACGCACACACTAAGACCCACAGACACACGCGGCTCTGCACATATCAAACAAAAAACCATATAGCAAACTCAAATAGGGGTGTTTAATTGGATACGTATTTCCCAGAAATTCGCACACACCATACCCTACACACGCACAAAGCGCTGCAACACAAACCTAAATAAAAAAAATACAGATGCACTTACAGGAAGTTTCATTACCCTACGCATTATATGCACCTACTACCCACCTCAGATTTTCCGGTTATACCATATACCAAACTCAAATAGGTGTGTTTAATTGGATGCATCGTTCCAAGAATTATGCACACGACATTCCACACACACGCACACACCGCCGCAACATAAACCAAAATAAAACTTACAGAGGTACTTACCGGAAGTTTCATTACCCTACGCGTCATATGCCCCCACTACCAACCACAGATTTTCCGCCAAAACCATATACCAAACTCAAATAGGTGTGTTTAATTGGATACATAATTCCCAGAACTTTACACATGCCATACCACAAACACGCACACACCGCCGCAACATAAACCAAAATAAAAATTACAGATACACTAACTGGAAGTTTCATTACCCTACGCGTCAGATGCCCTCACTACCCACCCCAGATTTTCCGGCAAAACCATATACCAAACTCAAATAGGTGTGTTTAATTGGATACGTAATTCCCAGAAATTTGCACATGCCATACCACCCACACGCACACACCGCCGCAAAATTAACGTAAATAACAATTACAGGTGTTTTTATGTTAGTTTTTTTTACGCCATGTTAGTTTTTAAAAAACTCTGAATAAAAAAAATTAATTATTACCATGGTTAGGATCCCTTATAATATGGTAAAGATTCTATTTCAATTATAACCAAAATTAAACACCATAATAAAATTACACTTCCACCATTCTCTTTTAATTCTATCCTTAATTAATTAATATTTGTCTTTCAATCTTATCCATCCATTGAAAATTTATTAATGGATGAAATGAGATCTCATGATCTCACCTGATTAGGATGGTCTCGCTGAATCCAATATATATATATATATATATATATATATATATATATATATATATATATATATATATATATATATATATATATATATATATATATATATATATATATATATATATACTTGCACTTGGGTGCTAACGGGTCGCCCAGGCGCGAAATAGGAATTAATTATGACCGTTGATCGTCGTTCATCTAACGAAACTCATTCGTATTAACTATCTCGCGTTTTGCCATTTGTAAGGACATTCTTGTCTTTTTAGGCGTTTGTTTCCAAATTTGTATTGTATCCTGGTTTATTAGTCGTCGTCTTTATTATTCGAAATCAACAGCTCGATCTGGTGATCGCATAAACGTTGCAGTTCTTCTTCTGCGGAGGTATTCATCATCTGTTTGGCATACGATCGCAATGGAGCCAGGTATTGGTCTGTTTATATTGATCGCTTAAGATGAATTGTTGGTTTCTTGGTTACTCGTTTTAGTTGAATTTCTAATTTAGTCATCGTGTTTCTGTAGGTATCTGCATTGAAGGTTTAATTTACATTTAGCTAATTCTAGAAAAATTGCACACACAATTGTCGTTCCATCTGTAATGCATGCAATTTTTTTGTTACTTAATTGCATCGTATATATTATTTTACTTGCACACTATGGGTTATGTACTTGCAATACTGGTATATTTATATTCATTGTCTAAGATGAATTGTTGTTATCTGGCTTACACGTTTAGTTGAATTTGTAATTCAGTCATCGTGTTTCTGTAGGTATGTTCATTGGAGTTTGAATTTGCATTTAGATAATGTTAGAATAATTGCACACACAGTTGTTGTTCCATCGGCATTCCAGGAATTTTTTTTGTTATTTTATTGCGTTGTATATATTATTTACTTGCACACTATGGTTTATGTACTTGCAATAATTTTTAATTATATATAGTTTATGGTAGATTACCAGTAGTTGTACATTTGTCCACACAGGTGAAGTGGATTCGTATCGTTTGGATACTTCTCCTGGTTTGACAAAATATTATGTCCCTTTGTGTGAAGATTCAGTTAAACCGTTTGTTGGGAAGGTTTTTCCTGATTTGGATACTGGGGTTGCATTTTATACTAAATATGCATCAATTGTTGGGTTTGATGTTCGACTAGGTCACTTGTCAAAATCTGATGATGGGACTATTGTTTGGAGGTATGTTCTTTGTAATCGAGGGGGTCATAAGCATGTTGTTTGTAGGGATAAATCGTCAGTAGTAGAATTGGATGGTGATGCGGAGTCTTCGGTTAAAAAGAGGAGGAGATTTTCAAATAGGGTTGGGTGTGGGGCTTGTGCTATTTTTAGATATGGAGGTGATGGCACTTATGTTATTCACAGGTTTGAAGAGCGTCATAATCATTCATTGACATCAGTAATGTCAAGACAGTTTCTGAAGATGAATAGAAAGGTTGGTCCTGGTCATATGAAGTTCGTTGCTGATTGTGGAAAAGTGAACATTGGGCCAATGCAGAGTTTTCGGTTGTTTGGTGGGTTGGCAAATGTTGGTGCAACAAGTTTGGAATTTCAGAATATTAAAAGGGATGTGGACTCATTTTCTGCTGGGGTTGATGCTCAGATGATTGTGACTAATTTCTTAAAAAAAAAAAAAGTATGTCCAGCTCTGTTTTTTGCATTTGATGTTGATGAGTATGATCACTTATCCAGATTTTTTTGGGCTGATGCTGTTTCTAGGAAGAATTTTACCCTTTTTGGTGACGTTGTGTCATTTGATGCTACATATCAGACAAACAGGTTAGTTTTGGTATTGTAGGGCATAAGTTTTATATTCTGTTGTGTTATTGGTCATATTTTTGGTCATAGTGCAAGTATATATGTTTATAGGTGCAACTAGTTTACACTAAATGTGCATGTACTCTCTGACAAACTTTACATTGTTTTTCCATGTATGATATGGTGTTTACACCATTTACTGGTGTTAATAATCATACAAAGTCTATTACTTTTGGGGCTGGGTTGTTGACAAAAGAGGATATTGAGTCATATGTGTGGTTGTTTGAGAAATTCAAGGAAGCGATGGGTAGTGAGCCAGTATTGGTTGTTACTTATTAAGACCCAGCAATGAGGGTTGCATTTCCACGTGTGTTCAAGGAAGCTAAGCATAGGTTTTGCATGTGGCACATTATGTCAAAGGTAGGAGATAAGGATGGCCCTTCATTGAGTAAAAATGAGACTTTTAGGTCAAAGTTGAATTCTGTTGTATGGAGTCATTATTTGGAACCAGCTGAATTTGATTATCAATGGAATCTTGTCATGGAGGAGTTTGGGTTGTTGGAGCATAGTTGGTTTGTCAAAATGTATGATCTTCGTCATCTTTGGATTCCTGCATATTTTAGTGATGTTAGTATGAATGGTTTAATTATGACTACTTCCCAGTCGGAGAGTGAGAATAGTTTGTTTGGTTCTTTTACTACTCCTCAGTCCAACTTGGTTGAGTTTTTTTAGGCATTTTGATCGTGCGATTGATAGTCAACGCTATTCTATTAATAAACTCAACAGTGACTCGGAGGCATGTTTTCCAGATTTGAAGACACCACTGTCTATGGAGAAACATGCTGCATATGTGTATATTCTTACAGTTTTTTATTTGGTGCAAGCTGAGATTTGTGCAGCATGTTTTAGCTGTCGAGTTCTAAATGTTCGGGATGACCAAGGAGTTTTGTATTATGATATTAAAGACGGAAATGACCGAGTGTTTAGGGTGGTGCATAATGTTGCTGAAGTCAAAGCTTCATATGGATGTAAACTGTTTGAAAGGGTAGGATTGCTTTGTAGGCATATTTTTGTAGTTTTCAAAGATTTGAACTTGGATTCAATTCCATTGGTCTATGTAGTTAACCGGTGGACCAAGAGTGAATCATTGGGTCAAACTTTTGATATTGATGGTGTTGTTGTTGATCAATGTGGAGGTGTTGATGAGAAGTTGGTGATTTTGAAAAATGTTTGGTTAGATATTCAATGTTGTGTTAGTGTGGTTCAGTCTGACATTGATCGTTTGAAAGTGTTTTCCCAGATCATTAAGGACCACAAAGATATGCTTTTGGCTGATAAGGGTGGCTGTTCTTCTGCTGTTGATAAGAGGTTAGTCATTGAGTCAATATGTGGTTCTTCAGTCCCTTCCGAAGTTTCTATTCTTCCACCAAACAAAGCAAAGAACAAGGGTAGTGGCAGGCGCATTAAACGTTGCAAGGAGATTGCCATTGAACAAAGTAAGAAGGAGAGGACTTGCAAGACTTGCAACAAACCTAATCATGATAGTAGGAATTGTGTGTTGAGGAAAATGAAGGATAAGGTGTGCAGTTTATAGATACTCTCTAGATACAATTGTATTTACATTTTTTTTGTCAAAATATGACTATGAGGGGTTCTTTATAATGTTGGTTTAGTAGTTATGGAAGTAGTTCTTAGCTTAGATGGAAATTACAGTGCTGATATCTCGTGTTAGGATGTTGTGAAAAGTTGTTGCACTAATATAGAAGATTACATGCACTAATTGTTGCACGATTACTTGTGAAGATTACATGAAAGTTGATTACAAGTATAATTGTGATAATATAAACCATTAAATGCATTTACAACGAAAAATGGTTGCAGAGATTATTTGTACACTTTCATATAAAAATATGATTATTAATAGTGTAGTATATTATATGCAATTAAAAGCATATTTAATTGCACTTGTAGGAAAAATTAATTGCTTTAATAAGGAAGATGTGTTGTACATGTGGCTTAGGAGATATGGAAGTAGTTTTAGCATATATGGGAAATATAGCATATCTAATTGTGTTAATATAAACAATTACACGCATTTATAACAAAAAGTGATTGCATTGATCTGACAGTAAATGTTAGGTGCATTCCTTCTATAACTAGGTAACTAGATCTGCCTTACAGTAGAGTACAAGCACTTATGCTACTAGTACTTGCACACAAGTATGACTTCATATAGTCAACATTCCAAAAGTACTTCCTAAATTCAAAGGCAACTCAAAAATTGTTTTGTTTAAAGATTTAGTTGCCTGCACCAAAAACACATTCACAGACGTTCACAAAAAAACAACTAGGTGTCCGTTACTTCTTTGACTTCGAGGCCTTTTGGAAATTTCTGGCAAGCTTCATGCATTGCTCTCGCTGTTCATTGATTGGGCCGTTCACGATCACTGCAAGGTACTTCACCCGCAGGTTGTTTAGCTGTTCTTGATTTCCTTTTTCAATCCCACAGTCCCAACCCCTCACACCTTTCCCCATATATGTCTCCATGTGTCGCATAGTGAACACACCACAGTCAACTTTGTTCTCATCATCTCTCCAGCTCATTTCAAGTCTTGATGATTTTAGTCCCCGTACAAGTTTGCTTTTTGCATCATCATTTTTGGATTGGAAGTATTCTGCCAGCATATTTGTCTGTATTACATGTAATTGTCAGTATACAAACTAATAAAAGCATTAAATTTTATGAAATCTGTTGAGTAACATTACCAGTGATTTTGGGATATCTCCATACTTTGGGCCTTCAACTGATGAATTGTCCAAGATGTCAAATCTTTTATTTTTGAAATTTATGCTGAGGACATAGTAGTGCTCAGCATGCACAATGGGGAACATAAACTGTTTGAAAGCATAGAATTAGTAGTTTAGTTGCACAAATAGATATAGTTTAATGCAATATTGATATAAGTTAGTTGCACCATTGCGTATATAGTGTGTAGCTTACCAACTCAATATTTTCAAGGTTTAATCCTTCTGTCACTCCAATTTCACCATCCAATCTCTCTGAAAATCTTCTAAATCTCAATGCATGGTCACCGTAGGGGGCTACAATCGTGAAAAGCTGCAATAAATGTAGATGTTAGGGTGCATTTTACAAATATTTTTTTTTATATGAAAGGTTGTTATAGTTGTTGTAAAACTTACACATACGAATGTTGTTGCAAAAAATCTGCAAGGTGAGGTATTGCTACGTGCCCTTTCTTTATAGTTTAGAATTGTAGACCAGGCATCTACGACTCCGACCTTAATCTCCGTATTATTGGTCATGGATAACATGTCATCCCATATGACTGCTTTTTCACCATATTTGAAAATCTCTTTTGTCCTGTTTATAAAAATAATAATAATAATAATAATAATAATAATAATAATAATAATAATAATAATAATAATAATAATAATAATAATAATAATAATAATAATAATAATAATAATAATAATAATAATAATCAATAAATATAGTAGAGACTTTAATATATTGATGGACCAACACTGTTAGTTATATAGTCTTAGAACCCATTTGGCAATCATTTTTTCATTGTTATTCCATGCTCGGTGAACATCAACTGTTCTTGTCAAGAACGGGGACTTCAATGGATTGGTGATTTTCACTTGCCGCTTGTCAGCCCTTGGTTGCAGTCCCTGAGGTTGTTTTGATACATTCTTATCAACTCCCGCTGCTGGCTCTTCTTGTTGTGGTTGTGGTTGTTCAGGCAGAATCTATAATGATACAGTGCAACTACTTTGAGCACAAAGTGCAAGTAGTATATTCTAATAATGCAAGTAAGTTTTTAAAGTTTCATTACCTCATCAACATTCAACTGTGTTTGCTCTTCTGTTTGTTCTTGTCGTGTATCTTGGTCTGGTGTTGCCTCATCACGTGAAGGGTTAAGAGGTGTTTTAAAGCCTGAATCTGCTGCAGTCCTTGAGACATTGCGAATTGCATTTTCAATTTCTTCTTGAGTCAGCCCCAAGCTGAAACTTGGTCCTCTGCCACCTTGTTCCTGTACTGCTCTCTTCTGGTGATTGCATCATCAATTACATCAAATGCAGCAATGAACTCTGTGTTGTTCTAGAACTCTTCATTTTGTTGTGTCAATGTAACATTAGGATTTGGAATTCCAAGCAGTTTTTGTGCAGATTCCACAATCTGTTTGAAGTTCTCATCTTCAACTGTATGCTTTGGTGCCTCTTGTGCCATTTCCATTACTTCTATTGTTTTTGCTAGAAGTTTTATCTTTTTTTTATCTTTTTTTTTTTTTTTTTTTTTTTGCAGTCAGTAAAAGCATGTGTTAATACTCTGAGTGCACAAATTATAGGGTGTACATGCATATACAAAATAAATTAATTACGCACAATGTATTATTAACATTTTAACATTGTTCAAACATTATATTGATGTGGTATGTATCATTTCTGCAGACAAGAAGTATTAACCATGTATAGGGATGTATTTAATCAACTAGTTAACCTTTTATTAGTATTTTTTGGTTTCAAAATTCTATGTGAACTAATACACATAACTTCATGCACATATAACTTAATCTAGTTGCATAACATAACATTATTGCAATTTACCTGCTGGTCTTGTTCATTGTCTTGGGATTTGTTTCTGTCTGTCAGTTGCAGGACTTCTTCCTGTGCCTCATCAATGTAGCCGTAGCCAAAGCCACCTGAACTAATCTCAGCCTTTTCCCTTTGGTTCAGTAGATGTGTGTCCCATCCTTTGAATGCTGGGAATGCCCTAGGTACTGTTCTGTTGTAAAGCACAACTCTGTCAACATAAAAAACCTGCAAAATATATAAAATAATGTTTAGTTTTGCTTTAGTAATCACTCGTAGTTGTGTTTCTCATTCATAAAGAAACTTACCGCTAGGAATAGTATAGACCCAATGAACTTTTGTGATGTATTTTTTGCCCATGAGATTTTGCTGTTGACTAATGCGTTGAGTAGATACTCACACCAATTGAGTTCACTAATGTCATCCACATTTGCAAAATTCTTTATCAGATGTGTGTTGACATAGCCAGTTGTACTGCCCTCTACAAACATTGTTGTTATCAGTATGGCAAGATGTCGTTTAAACCATTCCCCGCCACTCTTGCAAGCTACCATTGCTGCACACAACTTCTGAGGTGTTATATCAAGATCTTTTCTGGCCAACACTTTCTTCCAGTCTTCAAGTTAGGTGTTATTGTCATCTCCTTTACATCTTCTCTCAATTTTGATTCTTCCATTAGGAAACCCCAGTGCTTGGCCTACATCCTTATCTGTAATGTGCAGCTCCTTTCCATCCCTCACACGTAAACAAGAGTTGCGTGGGTCAAAGTTGTTTATAAGCCACCATCCCATTTTGCCTGGGACTTTTGGAATACGTTGATGACGCAGGTGCTCAAACCCCATCTCTTTTACACTTTGCCATTGTGCATCGTTGAATTGCTCAAAAGCTTTGATAAGTTGGTATGGGGTTGCTCTTGTTGTTAAGGATGGGTAAGAAACAGCATTGTATGTTTTATCTTCTGTTTGTGTGTTTGTTTCTTGAACAAGTTGGGTTTCTTCATCATCAGATCCCTCTGTGGATTCACTGTATTCATATTGGGATTCTTCTTGTCATGTTCTTCAGCTTGGGATTCTTCTTGTTCATGAGCTTCAGCTTGGGATTCTTCTTGTTCATGTTCTTCAGCTTGGGATTCTTCTTCTTCAGATTCTGCAGGTTGTGGTTCTTCTGGTTCGGATTGTTCTGGTTCTTCATGTTCAGATTGCTCAGATCCTGCAGGTTGGGGTTCTTCTTGATTAGTTTCTTCCGGTTGTGGTTCTTCTTGATCAGGTTCTCCCGGTTGGGGTTCTTCAGGGGTGCATTCTTCAGGTGAGTCATCAATTATCATCTGTTCAGTTGATTTCTTTGATTTTTTAGCATGTCGTTTAGACTTTCTTGAGCCTTCTGTGTATCTTTTTTGTCCTGTGAGAGTTATTTTTCAAATAAAAAAAAATGTTACTTTCACATATAAACTAAAGTAATTTCAAAGGTAGATTGTGTTATAGTAGGTGCATGTATATATGTCATCTACATGCATCAGTAGAGTAAAGTTGTTGCAGAATTATTTTTAAATGACAATCAAGGCAGACTGCAAAATGAGAGAACATTATCTAACATTTAGTTGCACTTATGTTGGAATCTAAACATAAGAATACATCAAAATTGTTGCAGAATACCTACTAACTGACAGAATAGGTACACAACTTTAGGTGCACAATATCATAGGATTACTTGCAAATATAGATTAAAGTACTTGCATGAATAGAAATTTAGAGTTCAGTAAACACAGATGCATGCATATAGCTTAAAATATTATTGTTTGGTACCATGCAAAGTGATCATTTGGTCTACATGTTGCTTAGGGTTTTGGATATGCAAAAATAGTGTATTTTTTTTAACTATTTTGTCAAAGACACTTACACATTGTAGCATTATAGCAAAAATTATAAGTAAAATGTAGAAGAAACAAGAGAACATAACTTTGTTTCAAATGACAATTAAGGCAGACTACAAAAACAGAGAACATTATCTAACATTTAGTTGCACTTATGTTGAAATCTAAAAGTAAGAATACATCAAAATTGTTGCAGAATACATACTAACTGACAGAATAAGAACACAACATTAGGTGCACAATATCAGAGGAGTACTTGCAAATATTGCTTAAAATACTTGCATGAATAGAAATTTGGAGTGCAGTAAACACATATGCACGCATATAGCTTAAAATATTATTGTTTGTTACCATGTAAAGTGATCAGTTGGTTTACATGTTGATTAGGGTTTTGGATATGCAAAAATAGTGTTTTTTTTAACTATTTTGTCGAAGACACTTACACATTGTAGCATTATAGCAAAAAATATAAGTAAAATGCAGAAGAAACAAGAAACATAACTCTGTTTTACCTCGTTTAGCTGTTGTTTCTTTTGCACGAACCACTAGGCTTTGTTCTTCGTCCATATTCTTGAGTGAAAACGAACAATCTTCAGTCGTTGTAGCAAAGGAGTGTGGTTTTTGAGAGTGCTTTTGAGAGTTTTTTTGAGTGTCTTTTCGATTTCGTCGTTGTCGATGGAGGTTTTTGAGAGGAAGAAGATGGTTTCTAACTTTTGAGCTTAAAGTTTGTCGATAAAGGCCTTTCGCGTGTTGGGATTGTCGATAAAGTCTTTCCGTCCACGTGTCCAGATCTAATCGATGAGAAACACTGATTTAAAAAAAAAAAAAAAACGCGATGGCATTTTCAGAAATAATTGAACATTGAATTGCAAGTAAAATGTATTATAGGTGCAAGTAAAATTTACAATGAGCATCAATACGAAGTGCACCTATAGTCATAAGTAGTTGCATCTATAATTATAAGTATTTGCACCTGTAGGTATAAGTAGTTGCACCTGTAGGTATAAGTAGGTGCACCCAGCTGAATGAATGATTGAGGGAAGTGAATGTTAACAAGGCAAAATTACATACACTAATAGGTGAAAGTAGGTGCACTAATAAATGATTTTACTTGCACATAGATGTTCAATTATTTACGAAAATGCCACCGGGTTTTTTTTTTAATTTATTAGATCTGGACACGTGTCGCGCGCTGATTCGTTCGCATTTCCTTACTGGACACTTATTCGCACCTGAGTGCATCCATATATATATATATATATATATATATATATATATATATATATATATATATATATATATATATATATATATATATATATATATATATATTACGTGGATCCAATGAGATCATGAGAGCTCATCCCATCCATTGATAAAGTTTCAATGGACGGATATGATTAAAAGTTAAACAACAATTAAATAAGGATAGATTTGAAAAACAATGATGAAAGAGTAATTGTATTTTAATTTTTAATTTTGGTTATATTTAAAACAAAATCTTTACCAGAATATTAGGGACCCTAACCTATATTTTAATTATTTTTTTATTTATTTGAATTATAAATTTATAATTGTAGTGAGAATTAATTTAAATAAACATACCTACATTTAATTAAAATTATAATAATAAATTTAAATTAAACAACTAATTGCTTAAAAATTAAAACTAATTACTTAAAAATTGAGAGAAATATGAATGAATAGGATGTAGTATAGGAATGAATTGAGAGTAGAATGAAAAGTGTTGAAAAATTGTGAAATACATGGTATTTATAGGAAATAAAAATAATAATTAATATTTTTGTTTGTTAAATTGGTAGTTGCCAATGACAACGATCGAAAATTTGGTCGTTGCCAGTTGCCAAATTCCCTTTGGTTTTAGAGTGCCGCCAGCTGGCTGCCACTCTAAAACACCCCAGCAACGCCCCAGCAGGCGTGTGTAATACACGCGCTCGCTGGTCGCTGGTTGGGCAGTGTAACGCATTTGCGTGTCTCACTGCTCTTTTTTTTTTTTTAATATCCAAAAATCAAGTGTTGCAGGAGAACCCAAACATAAAAAATCTACTCTTCTCATCTCTCAAAAACCTTTGCTTGGTTTTTCATGGTGCAAAAACCTCCCCATGCACCATTGATGCAAATGCTCTTAGCAGAACCTTAAAAAATCATGAAAAAACTTCTGATGGGTTTGCTCTACGAGTCTCCCCATTTGTGATTTTTGAGAGACTTTTGCAACCTTTTTGCTCATGTGAAAGAAAGAGGGGAGTTGAGAGAGAAAAATTGAGTTGCCCTACAAAAATTATTTTTTTTGTGGGACCCACTATCCTACAAAAGGGAAAAAAAAAATTGTCTCAAATCTCTCTCATGCTTTTCTTTCAAAAACCACAAAATATCCATTAACATGGATGCTCTAATAGCAATTTCTACTGTACAAGTTTGAACTTTGACAGGAAAAATGAAAATGGAACAGAATCAATAAAATTGCAAAGGGATAGCAGTAATACACAGCTGACAAAATAAAGCAGTGATTTAAATTGATAAGAGCAAGGAGTGAGCTAGAGCTCTACAAGCAGTTTTAGAAGAACTTTACAAAAAGCCGTACTAGATTGAACTACTGATGGGATGGCATTGCTCCTTAATCCTTCCTACTACAGTATCTGTACTTATACGTGCAGTCAAATGGCATTTTAGCATAAATGAACCAAAACCCAAAAGATACTAACACTGCTATGACATCTATGTCAGATACTACCAGTGTTTAATTAAGTCATATCCATACCAGTATATAACAATAGGGGGTTATATGAACATAACCAGATAGTGAGGAATTAAGAATCAATTCCAGTCATTTGCAGCAAGGGATGCTTGCTCGAAACCATAGTTGCCCGAAACCATAGTTTCAGGATGAACATAATAACCAGCAGCAGCAGCAAATGGAGCACCATACGTAAATGGATTACTGTCAGCAGTGCAGGGATAGTAAGGCGGAGCTGTTTCAGTATACTGGCTAGACCAATTCTCTCCAAAGCTATCATAAGCAGCAGTGTTTCCGTAATCAAAACCACCAAATTTCTTTACCCTCTCACCATTGCCACAATAAGATTTCTCAGCATATTCATTAAGCCATGTTGGGATTTCTTGATTTGCCCCCTGCATTAATTCAACAAGATCCTTTGCAAGAGGAGTGTTTTTACTGCTGAAAAATGCAGTTGCTAACCCAGATTTACCAGCACGCCCAGTCCTACCTATCCTGTGAACATAGTAATCTATGCTCCTTGGCAAATCAAAATTTATCACATGGGAAACATGGGGGATGTCCAGGCCCCGAGAAGCAACATCTGTAGCAACTAAAATTGGAGCTCGTCCAGTTTTGAATGATCTTAGTGCTCTTTCCCTTTCCTTCAAAGCCAAGCACACAATAAATGTTAGTATACTAGTACAAGATCAAACACACACATACTAGTATACTAGTATGTATGCTTTTTCTATACTGTGATTATATATTACACATTTGTTTAATATATAAAACAAAACCAAAATTGCACACTTCAGCTTGTTTCTAATTTCCCAAAAAAATATGTTGAATTTTAATCACCATAAGGTGTAATGTAACATTTTGATCATAAAACACACAATTCACCAAGTAATGATGTTTGAAATTCACTGTCCAGGGAAAAGGAAATACTATAACTATCTCTTAAATCAAACCTTTCTTCTATCTAAGTGCATAAACATTAGGAATTTAACATTTTAATGGAACCAAGAAGCACAGCACAGCTTAATGATGAAATCTCAAAATCATAATAATTCTCACAAGCATATAAGCATATCAATAATATTAAGACCAACCATCTGTTCTTTGTCACCATGTATGGCAACAGCTTGGAAACCATTTCCTAACAGCCAGTGTTCCAAGGCATCTGCTCCCCTTTTAGTCTCCACAAACACTAGTGTCAGACTCTGTCAAATCAAAATTGTATGCAGGTTATGATCATTCCAGCAGATATATAATCTATATGCAACAAGGATTCATTTTCTACCTTTCCTTGAGTTCCATTTGCAGTTTGGTCGTGAAGAAGGTTCATCAAAATATCCCTCTTGTCTGACTCATGAACAAGTTCAACTTTTTGAACAATTAGATCAGTGCTTGATCCAACTTTTCCAGCAGATAGGAATACATGATTTGAAAGAAACTCTGATGCTAGACTCTGCAATACTAAAGTCAATTGGTAAGAGCAAATAATTAAGTATAAGTATACAACACTAGAAATGGGAAAAATAAGTAAAAAATAAACACCAAATTCATGGCATCATCATAAACCATAATACACCAAATTCCAGTATAACATTGCACCGCAAAACCATGTTATACAATCAATTTAATTAGAGATGAAACTGGCCTGTATCTGAGCTGGAAATGTAGCACTAAAAAGCATTGTCTGCCTCTTGCCAGGTGGAGGCATCTCTGAATACTGAACTATCCTGCGGACTTGGCGCTCAAATCCCATATCCAGCATCCGGTCAGCCTCATCCAAAGCCAAATATTTGATTTCTCTCAAGGAAACTCTTGATTTCTCCATCATATCAACTAAGCGTCCAGGAGTAGCAACTAAGATGTCAACACCCTTTTCCAGATTGCGCAGCTGTAGAATAAAGTTTCAACACCCAATCATTCATTCAAGCAATACATATAACGAAACAACTTTGGGAACCATTTGCGAGTTTAAGTCAAAACTTACACACAGAAAAGATATCACTGAAAACAAAAACAATTAATAACATAAAGAAAGCATCAGTAAGAGGAATAACTTTTATTTAAAGCTAGCAGTACAATGAATGTTCTACAACTGAACTGATAGACTAGAGAAGATGCAAAAGGCAACAATGGGTTGCACATTTATGCAACTAGCTTCAAATCATCATATGCAAAGTCTTATTAGGTATTTGTTAATCCCCTAAATAACAATTACTTTCAAGCAGAAGAAGACAAATATTACAACCTGTGGAAGTATTGGTGCCCCTCCATATGCAACCACGATCTTTAATCCTGTCTCATAAGAAAACTTCTTGGCCTCTTCATGTATCTACATTCAAACGTAAAGGGTAAAGGAAAAGCAAAGTAAAGGGTGAAAGCTATGACCCTTGAGGTATTCATTCATATATATAACAAAATGCAGAAAACTAGAAAAGAATACATACGACGGAGTAAACCTGAGAAGAATGAAATGAACATATAAAAAAAATTAAAAACCCAAAAAGAGAAAAGAGTTGAAAGGCAGTCAACCTGACAAGAAAGCTCTCTGGTAGGAGCCAGAATTAGAGCGAGGGGAGAAGCGGCTTTGGAATTCCTGAACCCTCTCCTACCAGCACCTTTGGGCCTTTCGCTGAGAATCCCATTGATAATGGGGAAGCAAAACGCCGCCGTCTTGCCGGAACCAGTCTGTGCGCAAGCCATGAGGTCCCGCCCGTTCATCGCCACCGGAATAGCATACCTTTGAATAGGAGTGGGCTTAACGTACTTACATCTGTTGATATTCTGGGTGAGAGCCTCGCAGAAGTCAAGCTCAGAGAACGACCTCACTGCTTCAGGAATATCCTTCCCGCTCGTCTCCACCGGAACGTCGTCGTACGCGTTCACGTTAACGTTGCCCTTCACCACGTCTTCCTCACTCTGGAGATCATCAAATTTCAAGTCCGACTGAGCGTTCCAAACCGGATTTCTTGGCCTGGCTTGCCCACCTCCCCGACCATGGCCTCTCCCCCGGGCCGTTCCGCCGCGAGCAGAACGGTAGAAACGTTCAGGAAGAGTATCGGTAATGGAGTTGCGTAGATGGGGAGGAAGGTAGGTGAGGCGAGAAGCGCGAGTATGATGAGTGGAGTCGGAATAAGAAGCGTTCCAAGGACCCGCCATTTGCAGTATCTGTGTATTTAGCTGGAAAAATGCAGAAAGGGGTTTAAGGGAAAACGAAGAGACTGGAGTTAGGTACGTACGAAAAGGGACTACACAACGAGAGACGCCATTTTTGCAGCTAAGTTGAAGCAGATTACAAAGGGGGCGGCGATGATGATCATGGGGTTTTAGAGAGAGGAGAGGAAGAGACGTGAAACGACGATCATGAAGAAAGAGAAGGAATGGGTTTTAGAGAGAGAAGCTCCGATGGAGTAGGAATAAATGGGAGAATGAGGAAGGTCTGGTTACATGGGGAAGAGAGAGAGAGAGGCGAGACTGAGCGTCTAGTGATATACGGTTTTGGCAATCTACACTCCCACTCTCGCTACCGGCGCGTCATCTTTACCTAACGTTTGGTACAGCGTCCAGAGGCACACTAACGTGTGTGTGACGCGCGAGTAGAAAACGGAGAATTAAACCTCTGTTTCGTACTTTATTCAAAAATTTCAAACAAAACAAAAATCTCACCCTATTGCCCCAATTTTCTCTCGCCTTACTGCTTTACTAAAATGGAATAATATTCTTTTATTTATTAAGATTTTTTATTTTTCTAATTTCATTTTCTGGAATCAATTATTCTTATCAATCTATTATTTGATGTAATGTAATACTAGGGTTTTACCCGTGCATCATGAATAAATTATATTATCATAAATTTAAATAAAAAATTTTAAAAATAAATAAATATTAAAATATACAATATAATAATATAGTTAGATTTTTCATATATTTGCCAGGGTATATTTGTTCATAACATACAAAATTAAAATTCTGTATTAGTAATATAGTATTTAATAATGAACATATTTAGATATATTTATAAACAAAATTTACATAATTGATTATTTATAATTGTATTTCATATATATTATGATTCCAATATGTTGAATAATAATTAAAAGAATTATATTCAGAAATCAAAAGATGTAAATTTTAAATTTTATATAAATAGATTTAAATCATAATTGAATGTATTTCCTCATATGATTGTATAATATTTTTTATGAGCACATAATATTTATTAATATATGTTTAGAAAAATTTTATAGTATAATTTCTTTAATTATAATTTATATTGTTGGATTTATAATTAAGAATTTATATTTAGAAATTTAAAAATTAATATTTTAATTTATATAATATATGGTGCATAAGTATATGTATATTTTTTAGTACTACTATGCTCAACCGCTCAACCCCATGACCTCCCATTTAGAAGAGTCACATCATGCCACTTGATTACAAGGTCATTGGATGTATGTATTTAAGCATATTTCTAAATATTTACGAATGCATATTTATTTAATTGTATAATTTTATTTACTTAATTATATTTCATATTATATTAAGGAATTTCATTTATAGAAATTAAAAGAATTTAATTTTAAAATTTATTATTGATTAATGTAGTTACAAACTATATATACGTATTTATGCATATTTCTAAATATTTATAAATTTTATAATTAAGAGTATGAGATTAGGCGATTTTTAAAATAAAATTTTCTTAATGATTAGTAATGGTATCAATCATCAATCAATGTCTATAATAATCACAATTGTACATGATGATTTTATCGAGATCTAGTTCACCGTAAATCGGGTATAAATGTATAGAACAGGATAGGAAAATAGTGATATTATTACTCAGGGTGTGAGGTCCAAAAAAAATATACAAAGCTCAAAATGATAGCCCGGAAGAATAAATAAACAAACTAGGGACTAATAAATAAAACAAGGCTAAAAGGAAAAGGCAAGGGAAAAATGTTATGGTTGCCTACGAGATTAATCACTACCTTAAAAGGAAAAAAGGCAAGGAAAAAATGGTTGTGTGGGGATTAAGCTTGACCTGAGTAAAGCGTATGATTGTGTGAGTTGGGGTTTTCTTAGGGGCATTTTTCTCAGACTGGGATTTTCTAATCAGTTCACAAACCTGATTGGGGAGATGATATCTACTGTAAATTATTCAATATTATTGAGTGGTAGGGACATTGGTTCTGTTTCCCCAAGTAGAGGTCTCCGGCAGGGTGACCCCATCTCGCCTTACCTGTTTATCCTTGTTCTTGAGGTATTCCATTTGCTGATTCAAATTAAAGTGAGGGAAGGGGTGGTTCATGGGGGTGTCCATTGCAATGGGGGCTCCTGTAATTACTTGTCTATTTTATGCTGATGATTATTATATATTTTGTAAAGCTAGTGTTTCTGAGGTTACTGCTATGAAAGGGGGTTATTGATTCTTTTGTTGAGGTCTCGGGTCAAGCTGTAAACTATGCCAAATTTACCCTATCTTTTAGCATGAATGTTGGCGCTGAGTTAAAAGGGGTTGTCTCTAGGATTCTGGATATGAGGGAGGGTACATTAAGTGGTAACTACTTGGGTCTTCTATCTCTAATTCGAAGGAACAAGCGATAAATTCTTGGTTTCCTCAAAAAAAGGGTGGTGGGTAGAATCAATGGTTGGACTAACAGATTCTTTTACTAAGGTGGGAGGGAAATCCTCTTAAAGACTGTGATTCAAGCAATCCCTACTTATGCTATGAGTGTATTCTTAATCCCCTTGGAAATGGGTCGTGAGATTGAGAGAGCTATGAATCTATTAGTAGAATTGTGAAGGGGAGCACAGTAGGGTCATTCGTTGGAAAGGGTGGGATGCTCTTGCTTACCAAGCCCAATATCCTGTGACCCCATCAGTACAGTGTGTGTGTGTGTGTGTATATATATATATATATATATATATATATATATATATATATATATATATATAGAGTCATATTTTCATAGCGTACAGAATACTATAAATATAATATATATATATATATATATATATATATATATAATATATATGTCTATATAAGTGAAAAGAAAGAGATATTGGTAATATTTTTGATATTAGATAAAGGAATAAGGGTTAAATAGGGCACTCAACTGCACACCAAATTGCAATTGGACAATCGAACTCAAAAAAATGTAGTTGGGTCCTTGAAAAACCCAAACTCATGTTGATAGGGATTATTCCCTAGGTATACCTCTCTATACGTTCGGGGTTTTTGCTCGATATACCTCCGACAATCTCCATGGCCAAGAAGACGCCCAATAAGTCCTATTTATATGATATAAATTCTATCCAAAATTTTAATCCAAAAATCTATCTAAAACGAACTTGTGATCTTAACATTATTCATTTTGAGCCTAAGACTTGAGACCAAACTCAACATAACCTATTTTACTCTAACAAATCATATTTTTACTACTAAGCCTAGCCCAACATTTGACCCAAACTTTTAACCCAAGTCTTCAACCCAAAATATAAGATCCTAGAATATTTCTTAAGACTAATGTTGACGTACCTATGGTTTTGTATATATATACTAGTTTTTTTACGCACTTTGCATAAATGGAATAATGCCCAATGATTATTTTTAAATAAGTATTTTAAAATATATTAATGCAATATTATATAGGAAATGTGGTAAATAAAAGTTGAATTTGTTTATTTAAATTAGTAATTTAAAGTATATAAATGCAAGATAATATATGAGAGATTGATTATAATTGTCACAAAAATAAATGTTTACAACTTTATAATAACGCTAGTCTAAATACTTAGTCTAAAAGCAATAGTCTAAATAAATTTTACTTTTGGTTTAAATTTCTCTAATTCTTTTTTGGGTAGCATTGTCATTGTCTTTAAATACATAAATAAATAAATAAATAAATAAATAAATAAATATATATATATATATATATATATATATATATATATATATATATATATTTATATTTATATATATAACTATTATAACTTTGTTATTTAATTACAAGATAATGTAAACAGAAGACAATGGAGAATGTAGTGTACAAAATAAATTAATAAATTTGAAGGTAAAAAATCTTTAAATTGTAGAAAATAAAGATAATATAACTAATGAAATTATATATCTTTTTTAAATATTTTTATAATGAATAGTTTTTTTTTAAGTAAAGATATTATAGACATCTAATTATAAATTAATTTAATGCACATGTATTATTTTTGTTGTAGCTACTAATTTATTTAATTTAATAAGAGTAATAAAGTGACGTACATTTTTTCATCCACAATAATGAAATCACTTTTTTTAAAAAAAAATTTCATTTGCTGTTGAGACAAATTGTTTTGAGAGTTTGTCAATGACAATTGCTACAATTATTATCAATATAGGATGATAATAAATAATTCAAACTATATGGTTACAAATAAATATTGTTATAATGATATAGTAAAAATTAACTTGCAACTTTCTTTAGAAGTTTTCATGCATTGATAAAATTCTGGTCGCGCTGGTCTGACAATGATATAAGAACAATTGTGTCAGATAAATAAAAAAATAATAGTATAATATTTGTAAAGTAATGTACAATTGTACCATAATAAAAATACATACAAAAAATATTAATAACATAATGACCTAAATCATTCCAATAATACAAAATCATATAATTAAAATATTAAGTTTTTTTTTTTCTAAAAAATCAAAAGAAGATTAATTAAACGAAAAGAAAAAAAAAACTTAACATAAATTTGCTTATTTTTAAATGCAAGAAAATTTTATATTATATTTTTTAAATACATTTTAACATATTCGTAGTATATGTTTAACAATTATGTCAACTTTAATTGGGGTGAGATTCGAACCTAAGACATTTCTTATAGAAATTAATGAGTAAGTTAAGAATAATAAATAGTTAACGGAAGTGGTTTTAAAAAAAAAAAAGTTAACGGAATATTCCGTTACTAAAGTTTATACTAACGGAATTTAGGGTTATTTAAGGGGAGTAAATAATATAATTGAGGGTAAATAAGGAAAATCATTAAAAAAATATTAAAATCACAATAATATGAATCATTCATTTTAGGAAATAATTATACCGACAATTTTTTGTTCCAGTTAAGGGCCTTAAATTATTGGTTCTTATTAGTTTTGTAGATTGTAGATATACCGACATTTTTTTGTTCAAAGTTAAGGGCCTAACATTATTGGCTCTTATATTAGTTTTGTATATATATATATATATATATATATATATATATATATATATATATATATATATATATATATATATATATATATGCACTCAAGTGCGAATAAGTGCCCAGGAGGGAATATGCGAAAGAATCCGCGCGCGACATGTGTCCAAATCTAATAGATTAAAAAAAACGCAGTGGCATTTTTGTAAATAATTAAACATCTAAGTGCAAGTAAAATCAGTTAC